TTTTCAACAATAACAGTAACAGTAACAATGATGTGGTTAATAATAGTGCACCGTTGTGAATCGTCAACGTTACATACTACTGGCGAGAATAATAGTGGTGCATCAGGTGCTTCAGGTGGAGTGACTAGTGAAGTGATATCAGAAAACATTGTATTAATGACTGACGTGCCGGTCGTGACGGATTCAGTGACACAATCGGTACCGATAGCGACTCCAGAGGCGCCAACGGAACCACTTCCTGCTGCTGCTGCTGCTGCTGCTGCTTCTGCTGCTGCGACAGCAGACACAGATAAAGAAACTACTGCGAAGTCTATATTGCCTATTGGCACCGATGAACAAAACTGGTGAGTGAAGTGAATCCATAGGACTCCATAGGCTATGGTATAATATCAATTGCCTCATTTCAAACACTATTTTTAAATGATCTTACCGTTTTTGGAGACACAATATTCATGTGCTCAAGATTATATTCAAAATTTTACATTAACATCATTATTATCTGAACTCTTATATGTAAGCGTGTAATTTTCAACGATTCTTCTTTACAATTAAACTACTTGTTCGTAATTATTCATAAACTTTCATACTTTTCTTTTTTTAGAATAAGTATGAATCAAAATTATTCACATTGATTACTTAACAATGATAGTTTTATTATAAGTGTTAATGCAGTGAGATATTATTATTTTGATTTATAAATAAATTTATCTTTTTATTTTGTAGTTTAATGCCGAACAAGGATATCACTTGTTAGTCCCATGTTTTAATTAATTCAATATAATTATGTTCAGTCATCAGCACTGTGAGGCTGTAATGCATGGATAATTTTATTTACAGAAATAATTCTACTTCTTACGATATTGTAAATAAGTCATTTTTGAAACATTTATTAAATCATTTATTTAATTTGTGTTAGTCGAGTAACGCTTTCGAGAATTTGACTTAATTTATGAAAAAAATAAAAATTAACCATTGTAACTCACGGACCTGCGCACCACTTGTGTATATATTCATACATGCATATACATTTACAAGTGTGTATGTGTATGTATATGTATATATATATATATATATATATATATATATATATATATAAATGAATTTGTGTGTCAATTTCAGTACAACTGATACGTCGGTGTTAAACGATAAGAAGCTAAAGCAAAAAGATGCAGCAGCAACTTCAGATGATGAGCACCAGGATAAGGGTGAGTTGATTTTTAAAACATTTTATTATGATACATGTCAAGTGATATATTATACGCCATATTTTGGTTAATTTTTTATTTACCATTCAATCGAGTTCAATCTAGGGAAACATGATATAGTATTTTTCGTCTACCATAATAACAGATTGACGGTGTTGACTATTTTTGAATATTAAAACTATATTCTTTATTGCGTACAAAATAAGTACTATTAAATAATATGGACTTTTCATGTTGGCGTAGGTTATATTATATATTGTTTAATATTATGTATTGTTTTTACATTTACTGTTGGGTTGTGCAAAAGTTATATTGATACAGATGTTTTTATCCTAGAATAGATTTTTAATCTGTGATTTGTTAAACTTAAAACTGTTAGGCATCTGCTTTAACATTTACAAGCGCTTTCTAACGCTTTGTTGATATATATAAACATACTTTACTTTTAAATGTCATGATGAAAATTGCGTTCATATTATAACAAGTATCCGATGGGAACGGAAACTGATCATGCTTAAATTGAAAAAAATTTGAATACTCAAATATTAACTAATTAAACAGCGTAATTTATTTAATATTTAATTGCATATACATATTGTGTCATACATATTGAATAATTGTTTTTAAATTTATAATACAATGTTTTATGTATTCAATTTAAATGAATATATTATGTTTTTATATAATTTTTTCAATATATTTAAAAGATTGTGAGCATTTAAATTAATTCAGTTGTTTTCTTCTGCATGGCACGATTTTCGATGTTTGTGCACAAAATAATAACTGGGAAATTTCGATCCGCAAGTTTTGCAAGGATAATATTGAACGTTCATATCCAAATGCGTTATTTTGAGCTTCGTGCTATCAGGCGCACCTTGGCCGATTTTTACTTCTATTAGATGATTCGACTCCACTGGATGCAAATGTCTTCTGGCATGTTTTTGATAGCAGTACTGCGATTTGAATGTGTGATTGCAGTGCATGCACATGTAAATCGATTGACCATTTGCAAAATTGTTATCGTGCAAGTTGATTGAATTTTCCGATGGGTTCACATCCTCGATGTTGATTTCTTCGCTGTCGCTGCTGTTCGCGGTTTCCGGGTTGTCATTGCCGGGGTTGCATTCTCGTATATTTTTCGCCATTTGCGTGTTGAAACTCGCATCGGCAATGTCGTGGTAAGTTTCTCTGATAGCTGATGTATTAGTCTCGGGACCGCCGGCCTCGTTCGCAGCTCCGCTGTTGTAGGCATGGTTGAGAACCCTCGAGAAACGAACCGGACCGTCGCAGGATGCAATATCTATTACTATTTTGCCGGTTATTGCTTCTTTCTGCGAGTTAACTTGTTGATTGGATTGAGAATTTGATTTCAAAATTGAAGTGCTGGTTGATTTTCCTCTACATGTATTTAATTTTTGCGTCGTTTGTGGGCCATTGAGAGGATCGATAGTGCACTCGCCGGTTTGAATGAGATTTTTCTGGCAGCGGTGTGACTTCTTTATTTTTTACTCGATCGGGAGGACGAAAATGTGTAGTCCGTGATATATTGAATATTCCTTGATTGATTGGAGGTATGGCCGATGTCATTGCGCACATTGAAGTATGTCGGTTTGGTATAGGTTTTATCACACCTTGGTCTTGATTATTGCTGCCAAAATTTGGTATTTTTGGTACTAATTGATGCACTGCTAAAAACTCTCTGCACAATTCTAATGCCCGGGGCATTTGCAGTATGTGCGTAGCCAATAGAATTATGAATACGTTGTCAATTGTCAGTTCCAAATGACCGGAATACATATATGCCAGTAAAGGTGCGAATTGTTCAGGCGATATATTTGATATGACAAGGGGTGTGGTAATCGAAGGATTTATCGCTTCGATCGATTGACGAGCGTACAGGGCCGCTCTTATGTAACCACTGTGTGCGGCCAAAAGCATGCTGTGCGCCGCAAAACGTGTTTCTCCCACATCTAATAGAAGATCAGGTGGCACGTTCGCGTCTGGCTGCACCTGCATACCCCACGATTGGTACAGCGAATACATAACAGATGGCTTGATCATAACAATTTTCGCAATCCGACTTTAAACTGCATATAAATAATACACTAAATATAGAATTCAATACACTACGTGTTTCAAACTTTGTTATATTGAAATTTGCTGAACCTAAATTTATTGTTAGTTTTCACATAATATAAACGTTTTTGATGATTACCGTTCTGAACAATTAAAAATTATCACTTTTATAGCAATTATGTCCACTACTGAAATTGGACCCACACGAAAATAGTTAAAACTATAAATGTTCATCACATGTAATCGCACGTTTGTTAAAGAAATCAATAATTATTAAAAACAGAATGGGGGATGATTTATGACTGGCCGTTGCTATCACGCGACCCGCTTTATAACCGTTTTAAACTGGGGGTGGGGCTTAGATGATTTTACAGAATCTATGTATCCATCTCTACACGAACGTACCTTGCCGTTTATTGGCCACTCGACTACCTGATTTTAGTTTGCTGCTGATACGTTATGATTCGTAACTATTGCTGCATCAAATTTAGAAAATACTATTGGAGCATATTATGGAATAGTTACGAGTACCTACTTAACAGAAATTCTCATCGTAGACCATTTGAATTTTTGTTAAATAATAACTATATCAGATTATATCAATACCATCAAAGTACAGTACGCAAAGGGTCATATGCACATCAACCACCTTCAAACATGTTATTTATTTATTTATCTACTCATGAACAAGTGAATAATTCATTAATAAATAAATGTGTCGTGTAAAGGTTGCAATATTAATTGCATCTCCACTGAATCAACTCGCTTTCTTGTGATGTCCTATATATCTTTTTCTGCTTATACAGATTAGGATAAATCTGATAGATAGATTACCTAATTATTTCTGAAAATCACCCTCATGATTATCAACTTTGTTTTTTTCGTAAGTTTTATTTTAAAGTGATTTCTAAAACAGTATTTTAATAAACAGTATCCGAAAACCCATGCACTTTGCAAAATAGGCAAGATTTAGAATCTAGGATGGCTATTTTGAAGAGCATTTGATAAATGACGAATGATTAAGGTTATTTTTTTATTTCCCATAATTTAAATATTTTTGCATTAGAAAGTGTTGGTTCATTTTGAATACAAGTAATAACAAAACTAGTCTTTATCAACATTTATCATTAAATGCTTCATTGTTGTTCATTTACCAATTTTACAAAAATAAAATCGTTTTCGATTAAATTGCAAAAATTAATTAGTTATTCATAATTAATATTTAAACAACAAAAGTTAAGGACGCATTATATATTTATATAAACCGGTAGAAAATATTATACCGAAAAAAGAAAGAAAGAGTAATTATTTAATACTATGTACTAATATTATGTGATATTTAAATAAAATAAAATCTTAAAATTTTTGTACCCTACCAAAAAAAGAATTCAATTCAAAAATATCCTTTTCTATATTTCCAATTACTCATTTATACAAAATATTTAGCATGCTCTACGTACTCTCTTTTATATTTCATCTGCAGTTCATTACTAAATTAGAATTCTCATCCTGCATACTATATTTTCAAATCATGAAACATTCCCCGCATCAAGCCGGGATATGTTTGTCTTTTAAATATTCAGAGTGCTTTTAAAATCATTCTATTTGTTTTAGCAGAACCTTATTTTTCCTTATCCAAATGAGAGATGGAAATGTTATTTCTTCGCACAGTATCTTGTTCATGATTATTCTTATATTCTCATTACTATATAAACGATAAAATTTTGATTATACACACTCATTCACTAATGGAAAATCTGTTCTTCTATAAATGTGTGTGTTTTTTTTTTGACCACATACTGTATTTGTAACAACCGAACGGATCTGTCGAAACGTCGATGCGAATAAAATATATGCTATAATAATATAAAATTATTTCTATGTACATATACATAAATCTATAATTTGTTGTATACATACATGTACGTAACATGAAATATGTGACACAGCGCGCGTGTGTGTATTTTTGAGTTTCTTCGTGCGGGGTATATATACAAACGCAGTAATTGATGGCAGGCTTCGGCAGAGTAAATATTTATTTTAGTCATGTTCCATGTGCAAAAGCTTCTCTTATTTGACTTCGTTTCGTATATATGAGGGGATCAGAGATGGGCAATACTTATCAAAATTATCGAAATATGGATGACGTCGTCGTTGTTGAGCCATGTTTTGATATCGATTTCGAACCAAATAAATATACTCACTTCAGCAGTGATAAACCACTGTAATTTTATCAAGGAATTGTACATATTGGTTTGAAAAATAAATTGATCCTTTTATAAAAATATTTCATACTTCAAAATATGTTTTTCTTGTAATATTGATCCTTTTCCCAAACACTGTCATATGTTTATATTGCATTTCTAAACTTTAGATGCATTTTTCTCGAAAAGTGATTTTTCAAAAGGCGCACAGCATAACTCTATTTTTTTTCTTTCATTTCAATTGCTATTTGTTGCAATATCTTTAAAATGAGATTTTTAAGATTAAAATGAAGGAATTTCGATATGTCAATTTATCATTTTTATTTATTAAAAATCACTACCTATTAACTATTAGTTAAACTAATAGTTTTTTATATTAAACGATTTAATTCAAACAATTGTAAATCTACTAATTTCTCCAGAGTTAGGCCGCATAAGCATGTTCAATAAGCGTTTGTTTTATCCAATTTTGCACGCAGAGCGCTTCAAATTCTGTGTACTTCGCCAAAATGGCAATGGTGTCAATGGTGAATATTTTTTATAATAATTTTATATATTGTTGTTCAGATATACGCTAAACAAACTTCGCCCAATATTATGATTTTATCACTTTTTCTTCCGCACGAAAAAAATCGAAAAAAACCCGATTATTTGGGAAGTTAGTGTTAGCTCTTCAAGAGTTTTGATCGTGCAAGGTGTGTGTTAGGTTAGTTAGAACCT